TGGGGCCCCAGAACTCCGGACCCGGGAGGGCCCCCCCCGGCTGCAGCACCCATTGGCGCCATGCCCTCCCCTCGGAGGCCCGACGGGCACTGGCATTGCTCTGAACTTGTGCCAATTTCAGTGCTTTACCTCCAGTGCAGTGTAGCTTGGGGGGGGAGGTTTGTTGTTGTTGATATCCACTGTTATAGCAACCCTAAGAAGGCTTTCAAGGGAAGTGGGGTATTTAGGGTTTTACCTGTTCCACTCCCCCCCCCAAGAGAGTTTCCATGGCTGAGTGGGGATTCGAACCCTGGTCTCCAGGGTCATAGTCCCATCACTCTATCCGCTACACCACACGGGGATGGATTAAGACTCAGGACACCTGATTTGGGGACACCTGAAGTGACCAATGAGATTCAGTGTAAATTAACACTAAATGAGGCTTATTGTTCATTTATTATGTGTCCCCATTTCAGGTAGCCACCAGCAGAAGCCAAGCTGGCCAAGGTAGCTGAGCTGACATTAAAACTATAACGAATTCCACACGGGGCATAATGAGATAAGAAACCGAAAAGGCCAGTGTATTGTCAAGAAAATCAGGGTGATTGCCCTAAGGGAATGAGAACTAACAAAATGTGAGATGGATCAATTCCATCAAGGAAGCCACAGCCTTTAAGTTTACAAGAGCTGAGCAAGTGTTAATAAGGGACACTTTGGAGGTCACTCATTCATAGGGTTTCAAAAGGTCTTGGGTTATGTTTGGGTGCGGGACTTGACAGCACCCACTCCCTGCAGGAGGAGCTCATGAATAATAATAATAACAACCCAAAACTCCCCCTACAATCCCCTAAATAGAAATCCTCCATTCCCTCATTGGATGAAAATACCACCTGAGCTCCCACTGCTTTTGCCTTCCTGCCCAGTTGCTCATAGTCCTTTGATATGTTTTTTAGACTCTTCTTTGTTGTATAGTGGATCCCAGCCTGAAAGAGAAGGAGGGGATAATAAGAGAAGGAGGGGCTTGATAATTTGGGTAAGCTTTTTTGTCACATCCTGGGAGACAACATGCTTCTGAAAGCTTGTCTGGCTGCCCACAACCATCCTCCATCCCCCGCAGCTAAAGCACTTTCTCTTTCGGGCTCCCCGGCCCTGCTTCTCTGGCCCGGCCCTCCCCCGCGAACCGGACAGGAGAAGACGGACAGACAGACCCCATCCCCGCACCCGTGGCAGGGATGGCCGGGGAGGGGGGGCTCTTCTTTCACCATCAGTTGGGGCGGGGGGAAATGGGATTTGGGTTCTGCAAGGAAAAAGGTTTGGAAGGAACCAGCCGGGGACTTTGGCAAGCGGGCGAGGCAGAACTTTTCGGACCGGGCCAACGGGGGCAAGGGGGTGTCAAAGGCCTCCTCCTCCAGTTCTCCCTCTAGGCAAGGTAGCGTGCCTCTGAACAGGAGGTTCCACCTGGGCCACCTGGTTCTCCACAGACGTTTCTGCCCTCCTTCTAAAGCTAGGTAACCCAGGGGGCTGATTTTCACACCTCGTCTTGTAACTGAGAGTTCCGCAGGCTCGCAGCGACGGCGTTACCGGCCGTATATATCATAGTCAAAGGGCTGCGTAAACTCCAGGAAAGCCCCAACTGCTCTGAAGCTCCCTGGACAAGTGTCCTTCCTGGGGGTTAGTATCTCTGTCCGGCTGTCCTACCTCGCAGGGCTGACAGAAGCCGGAGAGGAGAACCCCAAAATTGCCGCCCCTAAGCTCCCCAGACGAACAGTGGGGCGAGGCTGCGACCGATCCCGGGGGGGGGGGGGGTTACTTCTTCTGCCTACTTCCTCAAGGGTTGTGGGGACGGCCGAGGCCCAAAGTACCTTTTTGGCTATCGTTCCAGGTGGCGAATAGAGCCTCCTTGTCCGGAGGCAGTCTACCCCCTCTGGTAGGAAGAAACGAAGCCGAGGAAAAGTTACTACGACTAAACCAACATCAAGGACATAAAAGAGAGGAGGGGACGCGGCAAGCAGAGGCACTCCCCCCAACCCCCTCGCCCCCCCGCC